GGCAGAGAAAGAGCAATGGGGGTGCTGAGGAGGGAAGTATGGACTCAGGTTGGGGCAGAGAAGAGTGGTCAGCAAAAGCCTTCTGGAGGCAGAGGCCACTGAGCCTCTCAAAGGGTATTGACAGAGAGAGCAGCAGGCCATGGGAACCCCAGAGGCAAAGGCCTGAAGGCTGGACATCCCAGGGCAAGCAAGAAGACAGCCAGTGGTTCGGAAAGGCTTACGGGTCACCTGAGCAAAAGGGAAATATGGGAGACGATGCGGGGTGTGAACAGAGCTCTAGCCCAGACCAACAGCACCTCCAGGAGCCCTTGCTGTGGATCCTGGGCCCATCTGCCTCTCTCTGAGCTTCAGCTGCCTTTCAGGCCAAGCAGGCAAAGACATAAAGTACCCAATGCTCGATCAGTGGCCACCTTCAGAGAGATGGACACATTCAGTGAGAGGGCCTTGAATGTCAGGAATGAGGGCATCAGGAGGCTTTGACAAGTCACAGGCAGGCACAGGCTGAGGTGGGAGCTAGGCTCAGGGAGGCAGGTTCCAATCAATCCAGCCATGGAACTTATCTGTCTCTAGTTAACCTTCACCCAGCGCCCCCCTCATAATTCAAGCCCACTACGGACACAGGTTCCAGGCTCAGCCCTTGGGATTTTCAGATCAGCTGGCCTGCAGAGGCCCAGAATTCCCATCTCATGAGAGAATTACCTTCATAATCAAAGGCACTCAGAAACATTAAGCAGGCCCTACACCAGAGCAGACACACGTTAGCTCATCTGATCCTCACATCACCTTGACAAAGCTGTCATTCCCATTTCACAAATGAGGACACTAAGGCTCAGAACAATCATTTTCCCACAATCATACACAACAAACAAGTGGCAGAGTCAGGATTCTAACCCAGATCCATCTGGCTCCAAAGGCTTTGCTCCCCTTATGCCATGACCATCCATTGAGCACCCTGACATGCCACTCCTAGGAGCTGAGGGTTCCCGGCAAGATCGTAGTACTCCAGATCCAAGTGGAGATCCATCACCCAGAGCTGGAAGCCCAGAGAGTCAGGATACCTGCTCCTACCTAGGGGAAGATTTCAGCCAATCTGATGCAGACTTAGTGGGAATTGGATGCCACAAATCACCCAGAAGCCAGAAGTCTGGGCTCACACTTCACCGTGCTAAGTGACCATAGCCCTGGACCTTGGCCTCTTTGAGCCTCAGTTTCCTCTTCTATGAATAGGGCAAAAGTTCTGCCCACTCCATAATGGGTCAAGGGATGGAATAAGTCACCTTACTATGTATGACCTGGCTAGGGAGGACACAATGCAAAGACATTGACATCAGACAGAGTAAAAGTCAAGGCCACAAATCCGGACAAAGCAGACCAGAAGATAATTGATGGGGGAGGCCAAGATTCCCAGCACCACCTCAACCCCGACTTCCAATCCCCAGCACCTGGAGCTTGAGGGTTCAAAGGGCCCTTCCCCATAGTTTCTCAACATCTCCACAGCCCCTCTGACATAATCCCCAGCACCTGGAGCTTGAGGGTTCAAAGGGCTCTTCCCATAGTTTCTCAACATCTTCACAGCCCCTCTGACATCCTCAGCCACACACCGGCATCAAGGAAGACTCGGCCAGACCTGCCCCTGGAGAACTCCCCAGCTGGGATCCCCATCACCGAATGAGAGAGGAGCCCTCACCATACAGGGGAGGAAACCAAAAACCAGAACAGGAAGAGACTTGGCCAAGATCATCCGGTTCTCCTCCCCTCAGGCTTCTCATTTTATTCTGGAACTTCTCTGGATAGTTCCAGGGGGAGGGGAGGGGCTAGGGCTCCGTTTGGAGGGAAGTCGCTTGCTCGTCACAGCAAGGAGTGGGGAAATGGGGGGTCTGGCTTCCAGTTCTAGGATGCTCCCCAGTAACTGACCCCTTGACTCGGCCCACCCAGGCTGTGAAGAAGGGTGGTCTGCTAGGCAGAAAGAGCCCTGGATCAAAAGACAAGAGATGTTTATTTTTCTCCCAGTTCAGATAATGTATCCTGGGTCTTTCTGGCCTCATTTCCCCCATCTGTGAAGAAAAGGTCAGAATAAACCAGAAATAACAAACTGATGGCACACATAGGATGCTCTCTAATCCTCTGTCCAGGGCAGACATTACTAATTTATCACAGCACTCTCTCCCATGAAAGCCAAGACTGGCATCAGAATGCTTTTCAACATAGCAATCCAGATCTGGGGAATTTGAGCCCCAGGCCACCACAAGACTAGATAATACCTGAGCCCTCACAAGGAAAGAAGGGAGAAGAAAAATATAACATTTACTGAGCATCCACAAGAATCAAGCTGCGGGGAGACATTAGTTGATTTCATCTTTACAAGCTAGGGATGCAAACTCTGAGGTTCAGAGAGACTAAGTGATTCGCTTTGGACATACAGCTGGGAATGGGGCCTTGAACACAGGGGAGGTATCTACTGGGCCACCCTCCCCCCGAACAGTGATGCAAAGCCAGCCACTAAGTAAGCCACTAAGGTACAGCCTCACCCCAACCACCCTGTGGCCCTACTAGGTGCAAGCCCCATGCCCATTTTACAGGTTCAAAAACTTGAGTCACAGGAAGGGTATGCCAGCTGCCAGAGGAGGAAGGACTTGAGTCCATATCTGGTTCTTCCCCACCGCTATTTATCAAGTTAACAGGCGCGAAATGCTTTATTTCAGCCCTCTTGGGCATTCTGGGAGCCATGACTCATATTATCCCACTTCAGAGATGAGGAAACTGAGGTAACCCAGAGGAAGTACCTCCCCCAGGGGCTCAAATAGAAACCAGAACAGTTTACCATGGAGATAAGGGGAAGGGGGCAGTAGAAGGGAAGTAAAGGGCTATGAGAACCCAAAGGGAGATAGAGGTGTAAGATGGCCATACCACAGAGGCAGGAAATGAGGCTGGAGTCAAAAAGCCCAGAGCAAGGGGGACGGAGGGCCTTTGATATGGCTCAAAGGCCTTCAGGGACATGAGAAGTCCTTGGTAGTGCCCCGCACTGGACTAGGCACACAGAGCCCTACAGCTTAGGTTCAGCCCTGTCACTTAGCAACTGGGAGACTCTAGTCAGTGGCTTCTTCTCTCTGGGTCTTAGTATTTACATCTGGAAAATGCGCCAGTGCTGGGATTAGCGAGGCCCACCTCCCCAGTTTGGCCTCCTCACACAGAGAGGGCATGGAGGGACTCAAGTCGCCCAGCGCACGGGTGGTTTTGGCTGCCGACATCCTTTCCTAGGCCAGACCTGCCTAGACCAGCACCTTCAGACTCAGCGAGATCATTCTCTCAAAGCCTCTACCACACAGCTATCAAGACCAGATCCACTGAGCCACTCAACCCGCCCAATGTAACACCACACAGGACCTACTGGTGCCAGGCAGTGGGCATACAGCCCTCCTTTAACCCTCACCTGATAGGGAGATATTTATTGTCCCCATTTTCAAGACAAGGAAATTAAGTCTCAGATGGCTATAGTGTGTGACCCAAAGACACACAAGTAGAGGGAGTCAGAACCGGAATCCAGGCCTGTGTGACTCCTGAGCCCTTACCACACCTTTGGTCTCCAGCTGACCTCTCCCTGCTCCGCACCTCACTCCCGGCCTCCAGCCACCCTGCACTGCACTTTCCCAACCCCTGGCTCTCACCCTCTCCAGCCCTCCTGCTAGTGAACTCCTACTCCACTTTTAAAGCCCAGCCTCAAATGCCTCCTCCTCTTAACACCTGATCTAGGCCCCCACAGAATACTTGCCCACAGAGTTAGTTCTACCAGGTGCCTTGGCCAGCTCTGTACCCCTGGCCTCCAGATTGGGGCTGTTCATAAAGGAGAGAGCAATCAGCCCCCTTGTGAAGGCAGAACTCCTCCTCAAGGCCCACATGTCTCCACATGGTTCAGCTTTGCTAACATCCGCTCATTTCGCCTCTCACCCAATCCTCCTAAATTCTCTGTGCTCCAAGCTCACAGGTTTTCCCATTGTTTCTCTGTAACAGCACATACTCCCCCCCCCCGCCACCACAGGGCCTTTGCACATACAGTTTCCTCCACCTGGCAAGCCCTTTCCCTAGCTCCATGCCTGGCCAACTCCTACACATTTCCTTTAGGATCTCTCTGTACCCCACACCTTTCTCTCCTATCATATCTGTGACTATATATTCATTTGTTTGGCATCTTGTTTGCTATTTGTCTCACCCGCTATACTCAAATTTCTGGGAGGCCAGAGATCTATTCACAAGTCCCCAATAAGGACTCACCCAGGCTGACCACGTCCACAACCCCAGGGGCCCTGGGAAGTATCTGAGCAAGAGGGAAAAAAAGAATACCCTGTCCCCTTCTCTGATAAGTGAACTGCTGCTCCTCCCAGCACCATCTCCTGGAAGCCTCCCAATGCCTCCCTACAGCTCCCGCTGCCAACCCCGTCACCACACCGTTCAGCCTGAGTTCAAAGCTCCTAGCACACAGTAAGTATTCAATACAGAGTCATGGATGCTTATATCTAGGCGGGTTTGGGAAAAGAGGGTCAAGTGAGGACCAGGGGTATTGGGGGGGGGGTCCTGTCAGCAGGTCACTGAGCCATCTCCTCCCTGGCTCCTGGGGCTTAAGAGAGCTAAACAACCCCCCACCTCCAGGTCACGATCAGGAAAGAAGCAAAAGCAGGAATTGGCTGTAAGCTAGGGATAATTCACGCTCCAGGAAGAGGCTAGGGGAGAGGAGAGAGCTGGGGGGCTTTCCTGGGAAAAGTAAGCCTTAAGCTAAGCCCTAAAGAGCAAGAGCAGATAAGCAGCTCATAGAAGAGAGGGCACTCCGGGCAGAGACACCTTCAGGAGCAAAGGTCCAAGGACCACACAGGAGAGCCTGGGCAGACAGTCAGCTGAGAGAAGTGACACACTATAAATCATTTCCCTCAGTGGAAAGACCACATCACCAAGGCACACATCACCACATCACCAAAAAGGCCTCGTGGCTTCCATGCAATCACACTCACCAGTATAGTCTTTTCCGACACTTCCACGTGCCTGGTCCAATACTGGGAAAATTCTGCTCCCACAACACTGGAGGGTTCAAGGGCAGCCGAAATGGAGTCTTTGAAGTCTAGGTTTTAATTCCAGCTTCTGTGTAGCCTGGGTCAAGTCACTTCCCCTCTCTGCACCTCAGTTTCTCCATCAGCAAAATGAGGACATAACAAAGACTCCCCACCTCACGGGAGGTTCTCAGTAGATGTAAGCAGCTATCATTCTCAATGGCCCATTTTATATTCAAAGCCAAGGCCAGAGGGAGCAGTGAGTTGCCTAAGGTCACACAGCTGTTGAGTGGCAGGACTCTGCTGGAGCTGTTTCTTTCTCCAGGGGTTATGAGGCGGCTTTTCGGGCACCAATCCATCCTCTTCTGGAGATGAGCCCCACTAGGGCCAGCAACTCACCTCCCACCCAGTTTAGGCAATTCATCCAGTAAAGCACTGATTAAGCACCTACTACTAAATGCCAAGCCACTACTGCAGAAACACACAGCTTCTTCCCCTGAGGATTCCCATTCCACATATGGGAACTCAGAGGGCAGTCCCTTGGCCCAGGTCAACCAGTGAGATGAGAAACCTAGGTGTCTTGCTTCCCCAGCCAGAAGCCTGAGAAAAGGATCGGCAACAAGACAAGCCTGGCCCATTCTTGAAACCAAGTGTGATCTCGACTCACTGTAGCTGAGCCTGGACTCACCCCAGGTCACCCAAGGACCACTACCCCAACTGTAGAGTTCCGGAAGCTCAGAAAGCCTCGCCCAGAGCCATACATGTTCTGTCACACTCGAGTCGGTGTGAAGGCCCCAGAGGCTGAACTGATACCCCACAGGCTCACCCCTTTTGTTCACCTCCATCTTTCCATCAGCTCAGTAATCCCAGCCAGGCCCACCTGCCACCGATGAAGACCCCCAGCTCAGAGAGGGCAAGCAGTTAGTTGTCTGAGGACACACAGCAGGGCAAGTGGTCGCCCTGTTGAGGCTCAAATCCACCCCCAACCCCTAGCCCAGGCAGGCAGATGGACCCAACCTAGTGGTGAAAACCCAAAACTTTTGGCAACTTCTGAGCAGGCAGAGGGCTGGGCCTGCCCAGGGGCGATCCCGGGGGCTGTGGATAAGAGGTACCAACATAATCTAACCCAGTCTCTTCAAGGCCGGTGGCACCAGGCCCTACCCAAAGCCCCACGAGGACTGAGAGATCCCCGTGCCCGGCCAGGCGCCCCTAGCCCAGCGCCCCCAGGCCCACCCTGCCGGACCCCCGATCCCCCTCCCCTCCCAGGCCAGGGGCGCCAGGCCGGGCAGCCGCAGCCAGAGGTGGCGCCTACTGGCTCAGATTTCAGATTTGGCCTAGACCCGGCCTGGGGGCTCCAGCAGGGCTCTCTGCTCTAAGGGGGCTCGTAGGGGAGGCCGAACCGGAGGAGAACCTCGGGCCGGCGGGACCCCCGCGACCCCCGCCCAGCCCCCGCACCCAGCAGCATCATAACAAAAGGCCGCGCTGGGCAAATCCCCGTGCGCCCGCCCAGCGCTCGGGGATCGCGGCTCAGCCGGGGGGGTGGAGGTTGAAGGGGTGGACAAGACCCCCCAGCGGCCCGGCGATTTTTTCCGGGCGGGGGCTTCCCCACGCCGGCCGGGACAGGGGGCTCGCGGAGCGGAGGAGGGACGCTCACCTGGGCCGGCGGCTAGGCGAGCGCACCCGCAGACAGACGCACGCGAGGACCGACCGCCGGACCGCCAGAGGGTCGGGCAGACGGCTGCCAGGCCGCTCCGGCTCCCAGGC